TTGACCCAGCTTGGCCAACATAGTAAAACCCCATCTCTACTAAAAATACAAAAATTAGCCTGGTGTGGTGGCAGGTGCCTGTAATCCCAGCTACTTGGGAGACTGGGGCAGGAGAATCCTTGAACCCTTAAGGCAGAGGTTGCAGTGAGCCAAGATTGCACCAGTATACTCCAGTGTGGGCAACAGAGTGACTCTGTCTCCAAAAAAAGAAAAAGAAGAGAAAATTGCAGCCACATATGAATTTTATTGCTTTTACGACTTCTTAATTCAAAGAAGAGAACAAGATTATTACTTACTTGTGCTGAGAAATTTTAATAAAGTATGAAGAATCATGGTTTAAATATTTGAGGTTTGCTTTTTTTTTTTTTTTTTTTTTAAGCCAAAATCTTGCTGTGTTGCCCAGGCTAAAGTACAATGGTGCGATCTCGGATCATGGCAACCTCTGCCTCCCAGGTTCAAGCCATTCTCCCACCTCAGACTTCTAAGTAGCTGTGATTACAGACACTTGCCATCATGCCTGGCTAATTTTTGTATTTTTTTAGAGATAGAGTTTCACCATGTTGACCAGGCTGGTCTTGAACTCCTGACCTCAGGTAATCCACCCGCCTTGGCCTCCCAAAATTCTGGGATTACAGGCATGAGCCACTGCGCCTGGCCAAGGTTTACTTTTATTGTGATATATAGTTACTTGAAAAGTCATATCTTTGCATTTGCAAGGCACAAACTCTGGTATTCTCTTCCTTGCCCTCTGTATTAGTCTGTTTTCACGCTGCTATAAAGAACTACCTGAGACTGGGTAATTTATAAAGAAAAGAAGTTTAATTGACTCACAGTTCCACATGGCTAGGGAGACCTCAGGAAATTTACAATCATGGTGGAAGATGAAGGGGAAACAAAGCATGTCTCAATGACAGTAGGAAAGAGACAGAGTGAGGGCGGAACGGCCGCACACTTTTAAACCATCAGATCTCATGGGAACTCACTAGCATGAGAATAGCATGGGGAAAATCTGTCCCCATGACCTAGTCACCTCCCACTAGGCCCCTCCCCTGATATGTGGGGATTATAATAATTCAAAATGAGATTTGGCTGGGGATACAGAGCCAAACCATATTACTTATCAACAGACACTTGGACTCCCAAATACCACAGACTCTGTTCATAGAATTTAGTGTGGATTTTCTAACTGTGGCTTGAGATTTTGGTCCACAGTTACTGTTGGGATGATGAATTATTCCCTGGGCCAGAACCCCCCTGCATGTTATATAGGAATTCAGAAATGTTTCTACGGACTGGGTGCAGTGGGTTATACCTGTAATCTTAGCACTTTGGGAGGCAGAGGCAGGCAGATCCCTTGAGGTCAGGAGTTTGAGACCAGCATGGGCAACATGACAAAACCCCCTCTCTACAAAAAGTACAAAAGTTAGCCAGGCATGGTGGTGCATGCCTGTAGTCCTGGCTACTCAGAAGGCTGAAGTGGGAGGATCACTTGAGCCTGGGAGGCGGAGGTTGCAGTGAGCCAAGATCATGCCAGTGCACTACAGCCTGGGTGACAGAGCCAGACCCTGTCTCAGAAATCAATAAATAAACGTTTCTATAAATAAAGAGCAGAGTTTTATTTCAGAAGGAAAACACTGTATTTCCAACATAACCTAAGTGTCTTGAGCATCTTGAGCGGCTACAATCCAATTACTACTAGTAACTCTATCATCGTACTATGCATACACATGAACGTTCAATAGATAACTTGGGACTTCAAAGAAATGTATGCTTGATGTGTATTTATAAGCAAAATAATGACGGGGATTTGCTTTAAAATCCTCTGGCATGGTGATTGGGGTAGGATAAGGGAAACATGCCTGAAACATGTCCATATTTGTTGAAGCAAGTTGGGTATGTGGATATTTATTATACTGTAATTTCTACTTTTGTGTGTAAGTGAAAATTTCTACAATAAGGTAGTTTAAGAAAGAAATACTACATTTTCGGTGTAGATATCATGGCATCTAATGAAAGTAAGGGAATCAAGTATCCACCATATGAAAGCAAGTGAGAGCATTCTAGTTAATACAATTTATTGTTTAAATGTGTGGAAAGAAAGAAGCGAGTATAGAGGAGGAACAGTAGCTTTTCTCTTTCCTTTCTTAGATTCGTAGATGAAGCTCCTACCACAAAACACAGATTAGCAAGAGAAACATACTGATAGATTTCATGTAAACTTTATGTGACATGGGAGCTTTCATAAGGAAATGAAGATTCAAAGAAATGGATAAACCTGTGTATTTTTCTTTTCTTTTTCTTTTTTTTTTTTTTTTGAGATGGAGTCTTGCTCTGTCGCCCAGGCTGGAGTGCAGTGGAGCAATCTCAGCTCACTGTAGGCTCCGCCTCCCAGGTTCACGTCATTCTCCTGCCTCAGCCTCCCGAGTTGGTGGGACGACAGGCGCCCACCACCACACCTGGCTAATTTTTTGTGTTTTAAGTAGAGATGGGGTTTCACCGTGTTAGCCAGGATGGTCTCGATCTCCTGACCTCGTGATCTGCCTGTCTTGGCCTCCCAAAGTGTTGGGATTACAGGTGTGAGCCACTGCGCCTGGCCGACCTGTGTATTTTTAATGCTAGCTTTGAAGAAGAAAAATGGATAGTTGTGGACGTATGGTTGGGTAAGCATGATTTAATAGCAGTAAATTGGGAGGAACTTAGCAAGGCCTGTTTGTTCACATTCTCCCTGTGACTCTCTTCGGAGATAAGGATGTTCTTTTCTGCCAGGTTTGGGGAGGGCACCTCCGGAATGAGGATCATGACTTGATTTTAGCAAAAGGTCAGAAAATTCTTCCTGGATTGTATGACCTGCTTCATGGAGGAAGGGTGGGAGGAAGGTGAGAATGACCTTCCTGCCTCTGATGTTTTCTCAGATGCCAACATGACATATTCTGTATTTTGGGGTAACGTGTCCTGAACCCCATCAAGAGGGAAGAAGCTTTTTAAAAATTAAAAAAACCACATATTTATTCAGTGCTTTCCTGGTCATATTGCTATTGTGAAGTTATTCAGTATACTTTTGTTGTAGTTAAAGAGATTCATAAACTTTTTTCTTGCTTTCAGAGCACTTTCAGTGGAGTCGTATAATGGAACATTTATAATACCTGGGAATTACCATACAGATCACACATGACTGATTATTCAAGTGATCAAAACAATAAATTATACTTGACCATAATTTCTGCTGGGGGGCCTGCTTGTGACTACTAGAAACTAGGCCAGGGTCCAGGTGAGGACCATAGTCCTGGCTCATGGAAGTGCCCTGACTGGGATTGAAAACATCCGCATTCTAGTTTGGAGTTTGCCCTGCACCCTTGAGTGATCGTGGACAAGTGTCTTTGCCTTCAGGACTTTAATCTGTTCCTTTGTGAAATCTGAAAGATGGGCAGAGTTCTTTTGGCTGGTAAAAATCTGTGCTTCTGAGGCCTCCTTATACAAAACCATGGAGCTTATTGACTTTAAATTTGAGGAGGGAGGACGTCAGGCCCTTTGTCTTGTACTCCTTTCCCTGATCCCATCTCAGAGGAAGGGATGTGGTAGATTTAAAATTTTGCTTTGAAGTAGTTTTGCTTTTATTACTTCTCCTTTTTCAAGCATTTGTATTTCAATCTTACATTTAATTGTGGGATTCTGGGATTAACCTGTTATATCTAGTTAAAGTAATTTTAGTGTTTAGTAAAGTGATTAGAGGATGCTGATCTTTTCATCTGTGTACTCATTCAACAATGTTCCTGACCTCTTGAAATTGTTCTGTTTTTGATGGCTAAAGCACCTTAGTCATTTGAGACTTGAGGACTTAAATGTCTACAGAGGGCAGGCTGATAATATAATTTAGTGAATTGGATCAAGTGTAATAATTTTGATTTTCAGTATAATCATGTTTCATTTTCAGTTATATAGCTAGTATTTGACCCGGGTACTGGAGCAGTAATAGCGAACTGTGCAGGCATTGACTAACTGGAAAGTTTATGACACTTCTAAGGGGTCATCTGCTACCAAATTCTATTGTCATCTGGGGATGTGGGCTGTGTGTTGCCAGATTTCCTAAATGTTCAGAAGAGATATGGTTGTGGGTTGCTGTTTTCTGGTCTCTGTTTTATTCTTTGTGGGCAGGCTACCTTGGACCCTGTTCTGAATAAATGCCTGAATGGGAAATAGCTGTCCAATTAGTGTTTGTTCAAGTCTTCTGAGTGTATTGTAGGTGGGTGGCAGGTGATGTCTCTGCTCATATAACTTCTGTTCATGTGGTTTGTGGCATCTGAGAAAGGAAAAGACAGGTTATTTGGACAAGAAGGACTGAAAGGATAACTCTTTCTCTGTGTGCCTTTTGGTTGACTATGTGAAATCAGTTATTACAAAATTTTTCTGTCCTGTAGTAACAATTAGATTCCTTAAACTGGATAATTTAGCAGCAAATTTGGAAAATCGTAAACATTCATAGCATTTCTTAAATGCAGGACCATTTTCTTCCTCTTTATCTTCTTCTGTTTCCATCGTTCTTGCACTCTTTCTCTAGCTCTCTTCTACTCCTTTCCTTCTTTTCCACAGCATGAATTTTTGGCCTATTTATGATATATAGCATACTTCAGGCACTGTGTAGATATAGAATCTTGTAAAGATCTGGGCCCAAAATTTAAGGAATTGACAATCTAGTCAAGACCAACCTTAGAAGGTGTTGAGAAGTCATGATGATTGATGTGTGAAGAAATATATTTATAATGCTTACATATTTGGGTTTTGGGTTATGTATAAATTATAACTCTGAAGTAGATAACAAACTCCTTAAAGTCAGGAGTTCTTTTTCTCTATGCTGAAGTGCATTTATAATGATACGAAGCTGGTGGAACTCTTAGTTACTAAAGATCATTTATAACTTGGCACCTCTAAAGAGTGTCATTTAATTCTGAGTTATTTCTATTTGACCATAATTTCTTTGCCCTGACCTTATGATTCTTGTTTAGGATGGAATTTTTAAGATGAGCCTTTCTCCGGACGGGATGCTCCTGGCAGCCATTCACTTCTCAGGGAAACTGAGCATCTGGGCGATTCCATCTCTGAAGCAGCAGGGGGAATGGAGTCAAAATGAGCAGGTATGTCTCTTGGTTATGATTATTATTAGAAGACTCTCTTAAGGGTGAGTGTTGACAATGCTAATTTTATTTTATTGATAGCACACAGCTATTTATTCTCATCATTCCAAAGCTATTCTATCCTTTAAATTATGATATCATTACAGTGGGATAAATTAAAAATAGATTAATACTGTGGACTGATTTTAAATTGTAGTGCAGTACACTGTGTATACAGAGTGTAATCTGTAAAAGAGTTTGTTAAACTCTTCATTTTTTTCCCACTTTGTCGTTCTAAAAGTACAGAATCGAGATGTTAACATTTCAGCAAAAGTTAATATGATCACGGATTTGGAGGGTCAAATCCTAAAAGGGTTACAGTTCTTTTCAAATCTTGCACCACTAATTATTTGGGGCCTACTTGAAGGGAGTTACCTTCTCTTCACTGGGTAGCCAAGATATAGAGAAGGATGGAACTCTTTGTTAGTGTCCTGGAATGATAGGTTTTAAGGATTAGATGATTTTGTTATGTAGTGACAGGTAGAGTGACACTGGTTAGTGGCATTGATTATAATTTAAATTCACAAGGGGAAAGAAAGGTCTGCTTATATAAAGCCATGTATTGTGATAGAGTAAAGGTTTAAAGAAGTTCCTCAACTGGAAATAGATGTATTATAAATCTTTTACTCTCTGATTCATTTACATTTTACCATTTTAAGGATTAATTTTCCTTCTCTCACTCCCTCACTCTGTTTTCCTCTAGGCATATCCAGCTTTTGGTGGGTGGTTTTGAGATTTTCACATTAGAGCCTATTTCCTGAATGACCTGAATGGATCAATGTCATAATTAAGAGGATTATTAATAAGGAATTTTTTTCAGAATGACAGAGGAAAAGAGAAAGTGGCTCTCTCTTTTCTTACTCGATTCACATATTTAAATTTGTTTTAGCTATTCTTATTTTTTTGTCTTATACACAGCTTTAGGAAGATATTTTCTCTCTAGTTTCCATTCAACTTCAAGTTAATATTGTCTCCACATGTTTACTATTCTTTCTCCCTTATTGGATCTAGATTTGTCCTCAGTGGCAGAAGTACTCCTCAGCTTGCAACCTTGGTGGCTAAATAAAAGGGACAGTCTTTCTCTCTGCTCTGAAATTATGCTAAATTGACTCATTTCTTCTTTCTAGAGGTGAAGTGATGAACTCTCAAAACTGTGTAACGTATTTCGCTGGGGATGTCAGGCAGCAGAACTTCCACTTGGCTGTTCAAGAACTGACTGAGGATGGGAGTGTAGGCTAATTTATAGGGCATATATTTCATATCACTTACACAGGTGATCCTAGAGCAACATGGGTTTGAACTGCATGGGTCCACTTGTACATAGATTTTGTTCAAGCAAACACTGATCAAAAATAGTCTTTGCAGAATGTCACATCTGTGGATAGGGCAGGTGACTTTATGTATCGGTGGGTCCAGCAGGGTCTTCTGGGGAGCTTGAGTGCGTGTAGATTTTGATATACCTGGAACCCTGCATATACTGAGGGATGACTGTACTTGATGCACAATACACGAGTGTGTTTCATATCTTTATTCAAAATAAAGCATTATTCATATCATTGATCCAAAAGATACTTCGTATTTTTCATGGTTATCAATACATGGTGATAAAGTATTCAGCTGTTTCCGTTTGAGAGGAGCCTGATGTTCTCACTGTATTTGGGAAATTTTAGATTTGGGCAACATTTTTCTAAATGGTGAAAACTCTGAATAATAAAGGCATTTTTCCCCCCTGGCTTTCTGTTTTTTAAAATTACTTTTATTCACCTAGTAGAAATATTTGTCAGTTTCTGAAGCACTCTTAATATTTCATCTTCTGTGTATCCTAGTATGTTATACATCCAGTGTAAGGGCTATTCTCAGCAAAATCGGTTAGTATGCTCTTTTGTTTACTAAATATCTAGAGACCTTTTTTTTTTTTTTGTCCTGCAAAGATAAATTGCATCTTTTTTTGTGGACTTTATTGGAATATGCTCAACTTTTTGACTGGTTAGCTTTTTTTTTGGTCATTAGTTGCCAGTCATTGCTATAATAATGCATTACTCTTTACTCATTAATATTATTCATTGATTAGATTTTTAGAGTGGCTGTATTAAAAAAAAGTAAAAGTTGTTTAAAAACCTTAAAACCAGAGAATGAATAAGTGTAAATATTTCAGTAGTTTGAAATATGCAATCAGAAAAGTAATGGGACGGAAAAGGGAGGGACCTCAGAAATTGAAAAAATGTGTTCATAGTGGGAAGAGAGGCACTCAGGCTGGAAGTTGTCATGCCTTAGCAAAAGTGTTTTGAACAAATACCCTGAGAGTCGGGAAGAGTAATTCGTGAGGAATTTTGTAGCTTGGTTGTTGAGCATCCATTTTGTGGATGTGACTTTGATTCCATGTTCCTGAAACAGTCCTCAGATAGAGCTTTTGACTTTTAAATTGATCTGTCAATCAGAGGAGCTATGCAACTTGATTCTCAGGCTAGTTGTTTATCTTTTTATAAATGTACACATTTTTAGGATTATATGTCAGTTTCTTCTGATGTGAGTGGTATGAATTATTTCCCTTGAATGCCTGAGTAAACTGGAAAAAATAGATTTTGAGGCTCACAAAACTGAAAACTGTGAACATGATTGGCATTACCGAGGACGTTGTACAGATCGTGGTGTCCTTTGCTGAGGGAGCAGTGGCTTAGCTATAGTTACTGACCCTGATCCTACAGACTACCATTCCCATTGTGGCTCTGTCCCTTTCCCGGTTCAGAGTTTATCACAGCACAGGCCGGGGTCAGCCACCTCTCCCTTTCCTGCTGCTGTTCAGCATATGGGAGACTAGCTGGACAGGGCGGGCTCTGCCCTCTGAGACCCTAGCCAGTTTTAGCCTCAAAGGAAATTTTGGTCGAAAGTAGGGAACATGGAAGGCATTTAATTTTATTTCTTTTTTTTCCTTTAAAATCCTGAGGCTGTGATGAGAATGAAAACTCCTCTGTGAACCTGTCATCTTCTCCAGTCTGATCAGCATGCTGCTTTGCTCTGCTTCCTAGATCCTCCTGTCCCTGCTCTCCACTTTCGTGTAACCATTTCTGCTGTACTTTGTAAAACTTCATTCCGTTGTAAACACGCCTGTGAGGCTTCAGCCTCTTCACAGAAGCTCTGGTTTCTTTCTGTATGCTAATTGTAGACTTGTATAGCTTAATAGGAAGAAGGTACAGAAGTACGAGCATCTTTTAGCTTTTACAAAATTTACTCTAACTACTTTTATTATTTATTGAGCACTTTGTCCTATGGTTGTGCAGCAGGTAAACAATAGAGCTGAGATTTGATTTTATACCTCTGTGACGCTGATGCATATGTTCTTTCCATGACCGTGTGGGAAAGAAATACATAAAAAACCCAAAAAGATAAGAGGAAGAATACTTATTTATTAGGCTAGTGAATGCCAGAGTGTACTACACGCATTTTTTCCCACAATATTTGTAAAAAGTTAGGAGGACTATAATCACTCTTTATAATTATTAATTTTTTACATTGATTCTTTTTATTTGATGATCTTTAAAAACACAGAGACAAATCCTTTTTCTCAGTGGTTGTGATACAGATTCCTTCAGCTCTCTCAGATATACTTAGCTCTTGAGCTAGTTAGTGTGTACCAGATACCAGAATAAATAACTGAGCAAGCCTCTCATTGGTAAACCCTTAGCTTTCTAATAGATATCTAGAGTACTCATGATGTAGTGAGGTCTGGGGTGAAGATGGTGGTAACTGTTTGTCAAGCAAGAAGAGTCTGAACAACCATAGTTTCTTTGAGTCTTTCACCTGTATCCTGGGAATTAATCACTTGGATGTTTTAGATTTGAATTTTAGCATATGAATTACTAAAATCTAGTGTATTATAATAAGTATAATAAAGCCTATGTGTAACAGGACTGTACAGTAGAGTGGGTTGTTCCTATTTACATAATAACATAATGGTGAAATAAAGTTCAAGTATTTATTGACTCTACTGAGAATTAGAGTAGAGAATACAGTGTCATAGTCCCTGCTCTTAAGATATTCACAGGCTTCCAAGGGAAATTATGAACAAATGTTTAAAATGACATGTTAATATTTTGAGAAGATAAGCTCAGGAAAGGCATGTAGGTCAGCTGACAGTGCTGGAGAGAAGAATTATTGAAAATAAATAGTATTTGTATAGGAAGGCTTGATTATTTACAGAGCATAGTTTTCATTTGTCTCACAACAACCCTATTAACCCATGTATGCTGGAGGTTGCAATTTTTTTTGTGTGTGAGAAGTCAGACCTTGGCCATGAACTTGAGCAGTAGGATATAAATAACTCCCACAAGTTTAGCATTCCAATAATGGAACACTAGGTGTAAATGGGTTAAGTGAAATGTTTTTAATACCATTTTTTATAGATGGGAATGGTGCTAAAAGAGGTTAACTTGAGATCACTAAATGTTAGAGTCAAGATTCCATTTTGATTCAAGTCTCCCGACTTCATAGGTTAAGCCTTTTTTTCCAGAATATCTACTTACAGTGCTTACGTTTAGAAGTATTGACTTTTATCTGGGTAAATCAGAGACTAGCATGTGATATTAATGGTAAGCAAGGGAGATATATCAGCTTGAAGTTTATATGAATAACATCCCCTGGAGTCATGCAGTTGATTATGTAGAGACCCTAGAATTGTGCAAGTAGTAATAACTGAGAGGTGTAATATAGTTGTTTACCAAATATGTAAGTGTCTGCATGTACTCATCACTGGAATCCTTTAAAGAGAAATCTCAAGCTTTGAAAAATACTGAGACAGCTACTCTTTTTTCATTTCTCTAGTAATGATCAAGTGAGCTTGGATCAGCCAGGTAGGGCAGAGTTTTGCCTGTCTTTATGGCTGCTCTAGTAAGTAAGTAGACAAACCAATTAGTTTCAAATCGATGATATGGTAATATATAAAATAGTCAGCTTATAATTTTAGT